ATCGTGTGTTAGAGAGAGAATTCTGAGGTGGTGCGGAGGGCGGTTTAAGTGGGGGAAGAATAAAAGGAGAAAAGGCTACTATAGACATCCAGAAGGCGAAACGTGAAGGCTCCCAGCAGCAGAGATGAAAGCAGGAGACAGTTCCAGGACGGACTGTGAATTCGCAGCGACCAACTGGATGTGCACGGTGGTGGAGAGGGGAAAACCAAAACGATGAACTTGGGAGTGATGAGTACCAGCCAGATTTAAGCGTTGGTGTTTTATGAACTCAGGAGGAAGTATCCAGTAAATAGTAAGAACTATGTATGAATCTAGGGCTATGGAGAAGTCTGGGTTAGAAATGCAGGTTAGAATAGAGGAGGTCCCGAATCTGCAGGAGTGAGTGACAACTCAGGGAGCATGACAGTGGAGGAAATGAGCAATGGCCTGAGGAACCCAGGCATGAGGGGAAGACAGAGCAGGTGGGGGGCCCAGGGAAAAAAGCAAGGGAACACTTGCACAAAGGACAAATGAACCAATTCTGCTGTGTTTTCCTTGAGATTCGATATTTCAAGGTATGGTATATCACCCTAAGAAAGTTCCCAATATTCTTCATTCATTCAAAAAATTAAACAAACAAAACAAAACCCAGCCCTGACTGGTGTGGCTCAGTGGGTTGGAAGTCACCTCACAAAACAAAAGGTTGCCAGTTCAACTCCTGGTCCGGCCACATGCCTAGGCTGCAGATGCGAGTTCAATCCCTGGTCAGGGTGTGTACAAGAGGCAATCAATCCGTGTTTCTCTCTCATATCAGTGCTTCTCTCCTTCTCCTCTTTTTCCCCTCCCTCTCTCTAAAAATAAATAAAATCTTTTAAATAATAATTTAAAAATTAAATATAAAAAGGAAAATAGGAAGAAGAGAGAATCCTGTAAATTTTTCCACCCTCTATTCAAATGCCTCATGTAATACAGCAGGGTAGAGTGGAGAAAGCTGTGGACCAGGACTCAGGACCAGTCACTTTTCAAAGACTCCCAGTAAGCTTCTCACCAACTGGGAGGAAACGCCAAGTTCTTTACCAGGCCTGCCATGCCCTCATAGGTCTTTCTTGTGCCTCCCTCTATAACCTCCGGGACCCCTCTTCCTCTCTCCTGCAAGTCACAGGGCACATCCTCACAAAAACAGCCACGCCCACACTACCAGTCACTCTCTTATTTTTATTTACTCTTTTTATTTTTTTTTATTGATAGCTGTAAATTTATTGCCATTTTAATGTTCATCATTTTGACCTTTTTGTTTTATATATATACATATATAATTCCCTTTAGCATTTCATAAAATGGCTTGGTGATGATGAACTCCTTTAGTTTTATCTTGTCTGGTAAGCACCTTATCTGCCTTTCCATTCTAAACGACAGCTTCGCTGGACAGAGTAATCTAGGTTGTAGGTCCTTGCTTTTCATCACTTTGAATACTTCTTATCAGTCCCTTCTTGCCTGCAAAGTTTCTTTTGAGAAATCAGCTGACAGTCTTATGGGAACTTCTCTGTAGGTAACTCTGCATTTCTCCTGCTGCTTTTAAAATTCTCTTTCTCTTTAACCTTTGGCACTTTAATTATGATATGTCTTGATGTGGTCCTCTCTGTGTCCATCTTGTTTGGGACCCTCTGTGCTTCCTGGACTTGTATGTCTATTTCCTTCAAGGAATTAGGAAAGTCATCTTAATTTTTTTTCAAGTAAGTTTTCAATTTCTTGTTCTTCTTCTTCTCCTTCTGGCACCCCTATGAGTTGGATCTTGGTACGTTTAAAGATGTCCCAGAGATTCCTAAGCCTCTCCTAATTTTTTTTTTTTTGAATTTTTTTCCTTCCTGCTGTTCTAATTGAATGCTTTTTTCTTCCTTGTATTCCGAATTGTTGATTTGACTCTCAGCTTCATCCTCTTCACTGTTGGTGTCCTGTAGGCTTTTCACTTCACCTAATACAATGTTCATATCTGCCTGGGTGTTGAAGTGCTCAATGAGTTCCTGGAGCATTCTGATAAACAGTGCTTTAAACTCTGCATCTGATATGTTGCTTATCTCCATTTCGTTTAGTTCTTTTTCTGGAGTTTTGTTCTGTTTTTTTTTTCAGTTGGGCCACGTTTCTTTGTCTCCTTATTTCGGCAGCCCTCCTGTGTTGTTTCTGTGTATTAGGTAGAGCTGCTTTGACTTCCTGTCTTAGTGCATCTATTAAATTGTATGGGTTGGAGAGTTAGGTAATCACCCGGGCAGGGCAACCTGTGTCACCACTCTGTGGCTCTGTGTGGGGGAGGCCTCACAGAGGGGACAATGCCACCGCCTGGCCTCTGAAGGGTTGTGATGGAGGAAGCTGACTCCCCACTCCCACTTCACTTTCGCCCCACGTGCCACTGGTGCCCTTCCAGCTGTTGCTCCGGTGCTGAACCCCAGCAGGGTGGGTCTGCATGAGTCCTAAGTCTGTTGTGGGTCATTTAAGAGGATATAGTTTCTTCCACCACACAATCCCCACTGGTTTTTACAGCCAGAAGTTATTTGGACTTATCTTCTTGGTGCCGGGACCCTGGGCTGGGTGGTGGGGTCTGGGGCTGGGATCCTCACTCCTGAAGTACCCTCCCATCTGTAATCCAGCACATGTGACTGTGAGACCAGCCGTTCCCAACTTCATGCCCCTCACCACTCACTGTCTCTACACCTCTCTGTGTCTTGGCCCTCCTACCGCTCTGGAATGAACGCGGCTTCTTTAAACCCTTGGTTGTCCCACTTCCACACAGCTCAATTTTCTGACAATTGCAGGTGATATCTGTTTGCTAGTATGGCTGTATTTTTTTCTATAGTTGCGCACAGAGGCATGGCATGTTTACCTACGCCTCCATCTTGACCAAAATCACTTTATTTTGACTTACAGCATTTATAACTACCTGACATTATGCTGTGTATATGTGTTGATTTATTTCCTGCCATTGTCACTGGAATTTAAATTCCACAAGAACAAGAACTTGATGTCTCTTAAAGGTTTCTTTCCAGCATCTAAAACTGTACCTGGAAGACCACAGGGTTCAAGAAAGACTTGCTGAATGAAATCCATCTGAACCTCCATCAATCTGAACCTCCTCATTCTACCATGTTTAAAACAGGGAGAGGAACCCACACCTACTGTCTACTTCTCACACAATAAAGTGAAACATGTTAAAGCACTTCATAACGATGTTTCCTGGCACAGAAGAAGGCTGCGGTAGCACATGGCAGGTAAACACATGAATTATTAGTGATAGCCTGGAGCACACATGCTTCGCTCACACTTGCTGGCCCTATTTTTATTTTTAATAGAAAGTATACCTGAGAAATACTTATCCAACCATGCAATATCTAAATACCGAAAGAATCTACCCAGGATCATACTCTGCAGGAGGAAAAAAAGAAAACAGGAAAAAAACTCATGAAGGGTGGGCTAGCTAACTTGTAAGCCACAGAAGCAGTTTAATACCTGACTAAAGAAAAATTTTTTTTAATTGGAAAAGAACAAAACTAAATTCAGTGTTCTGGGCTGCATTGTGTCTCCCTCAGTTCATAGGTTGAAGTGCTGACCCTGAGCACTTCCAAAGGGGACCGCATTTGGACACGGGGTCTGTAAAGAGTTAGCTGAGTTACGATGAAGTCATTAGGGTGGGCCTTCATCCAGTCGGTAACTGGCTTCCTCATAAGAAGAAGAAATTATAACACAGTAAAACAGAGGAATTAAAACGGAGGAAAGATCATGTGAAGACAGAGTGAGAAGATGGCCATCTACAAGCCAAGGAGAAAGGCTGCATCGGAAATAAACCCTGCCAACACCCTGACCTCAGACCTGTAGCCTCAGAACTGTCATAAAATGAATCCTGATTTTTAAACCACACAATCTGTGGTACTTTGTTATAATAGCCCTAGAAAACTAATACACTTAATTGTTTTAGAAACCAAGAGAAAAATCATTGGAAAAGAGTTTCATAAAAACGAGGTAAGCAAACTAAAATAATCCTTATAAATATTTTATTTCACTTTCATCATTTGTATTGAAACAAATGAGACTTTAATGAGAGTTGTTTAAGTTTAAATTGAGTTGTTAAATTCTCAAATAGATCCAATTAATTCCCTTACCATACCTCATATTCTTGCTGAGAGAACCTACCTTTCATAAAACAGTTGTAGAAGATTTATCTAGTACACGGCATAGAAGCTAGGGGTTCCATTTCTTTTCACATCTAGGTCCATCATGAATTCTAATTATTTTAATTACTAGAGACACAATTTAAAAGGCAACTGCATCACAGTGAATAACATAGCCTATCTCAAATTCTCAGGAAAATACCCTTTGAAATATAAACTAAACATGCACACACGCAAATTACCCTATTTCTAGACACACGCAAATTACCCTATTTCTAGACACACGCAAATTACCCTATTTCTAGACACTGAGTGAAATTTCTACCGTGTCTGGCACCACTGGTCCTGTAGTGGAAAGATACGTTGTAGATACATTGAACTCTAGAAGGTGTTGCCACTGAAACACCTCAGGCAGGAACAGAGGCAGAAAGACCTTTATAAATTCTTGACTTTCTTTATGAATTTGGAGGCCAAGGTCAGAAATACAGTTGCTTTTCGTGCCAACACATGAGTCCTGTCACTCACAGATAAAGCTCAGGTCTTTCCTTATCTGGGTCTTTCCTCACAATTTTGAATTCTAGTAAATTACACATAACATGAAATTTACCATCTTAACCACTTGTAAGTGCAGAGTTCAGAAGTGTTAAATGCTTTCACATTGTTGAGCATCCAATGTCTAGAACACATCATTTCGGAAAAACCGAAATTCCATGCCCACTGTACAGTAACTGCCCGCTCTCCCCTCCCTCCAGATCTCGGCAACCCCTGAGTACTGAGTGAGGCATGTGGAGGAAATGACAACAACGTAAGTAGAGATTCAGTCTAAAGATCAGAAAAAAGGAGAAAGGATGGGATTTGACTCACAAACTCTGTTTCAAGTTTTCCCATTTCTTGCTTGTAGCTTCTCATTCTGTTGCTGTACATCCCTCGACTTTGGGGCGGAACCTCTCGGACCTCCAAATCCATCTGCTCAAGCTGGAGGGGTGAGAGAAACGTGATTCAAACCACATGCTTCTTCTCTGCTTTACCAGATGTTGAGAGCTGAAGGGATTTCATTTCAGTTCCTCATTTACAGCCGAGGAACCAGGTCCAGGGAGCTAACTGCCTGTGATCAAATAACACTGGGGCTACTTTCGTCCTTAATTTTTGTTTAGGTGAACAAATAGGGACTGAGTGCTTACCAAGTAACATGCGGACCACCAAAGCACTTACGTTGTCAAGAATTTCTATGAAAACATATGTGTTAATCCATACACCCTTAATAATAACGATTGTGATATGCTTGAAATATCCCATCATTCAGTCTACCCTGCTGGTCTTCTGACCCCAAACCCACAGAACTATGGGAAGAGGAACTAAACCATTATTTCTGACATTAAGCATAAAGCGTCGGCCCAGCCTTAGTCATTTGCTGAACATTCTTCTGGAGAGTCTTTTCTGATTCGGAAAAGCACATACCGACCAACACGGGATCTCAACCTCCAGCTTGACTCCTTATACTTTATAATGGTGCTGATGTGAAACTACATGGATACAGTAGTACGCTAAGTTACACAAAACTCGCTGAAATCACAGCAGGGCACTTTTTAACCACCTGTCGTTATGTAACACTTTGGATACAATGCATGAGCATTGACTGGGAAGCAACACAGAAGTTACGATGGTGAGGAACGTGGGCTCCTAGGTCAGATATCTGCATTCGCACTGTGGTCTCCACTACTTAGTCACACAACCTTGGACAGGTTTCTTAACGCCTCTGAGCCTTACTTTTCTCACTTCTACAAACAGTGTATCTTTCTTTTTTAAACATTTAATTTATTTTTTTTTAGAGAGGGGAAGGGAGGGAAGAAGAGAGGGAGAGAAACATCAATGTGTGGTTGCCTCTCATGCGCCCCCACTGGGGACCTGGCCTGCAACCAGGCACGTGCCCTGACTGGGAAAAGAACGGGCGACCCTTTGGTTTGCACTCAATCCACCAGGCCACACTAGCCAGGGCTAAAAATAGCATGTCTTTTGTAGAGCAGCTGTGATGATTAAATGGGGCAATTCCTAAAATGTGCTTAAAATAGTGTGCCTTACTTGATAATCGCTGGATTAATAATGTTAACTACAGCAGTGATGATTACTGATGAAGGAAAAAAAAACACACAACAAGCATGGTACAAAGTATCAGAGGCACCTTACTTATCTTTGGTATTGAAAAGTGAAAACAACAAATTTGCTCAGACTATGTCTGATAAAAGCATTTTAATATGTATTTCCATGAACACGGAAAGCTTGTCAGTAACAAAACTCTTATCAGTTTTAGAGACTAACTGTAGTATTGTAGAACATAGGTATGCCAGTAAAACCATGTTTTAACTAACAGGTCTTAATTTTAATAGAGAAAAGAAGGTAATTTTAATTAACCTCGATTTAAGTGGTGACCATTTAAATTATTGACATGTCTCAACATAAATGTAAAGCACCCATAAATTAAATGGTAAGGCAATTATTTAAAGCACGTCTCCGAAGTCACCAGGAAGCATTTATTCTAAGAATGTGAAAAGGATCATCCAGACAAAACCGTTGAAAAGTGCATGTGAGTGAAAATTCAAGACTTCAGTATATTTTTATTTAAAGAACTTTACAAGGACACTTAAAACTAAACTAAAAGTAAGCAACAAAGAAAAAGAAACACACAACAAGCACTTCAAATGAAACCAGAAATAAAAGTAGTTAATATGCACCTGTTCCGTGTGGCCACCTGGGGGCCACGTGGCCAATGTAAAGCAGAAGACGTGGTCATTACAAAACATGCAGTGTCCGAGAGGTTAATATAAATCAGTTACTCAGCAGAAAGGCGACTAATCCTATTAAGTCAAATTTTAAAAAAAGTTTTTCTCCCAGGGTCCTCATCAAAAGGATGGTATATAATAAAATGAGCAGTGTTCTTAACAAGAATGTCATCAGAATTAAGTAAATCAGCTTTCTGATCACTTTAAACAAACATGAAAACGTATCAAAGACAAAACTCTTTATGCTAGTAACAGCTAAAACTGGGCATAAGGTCCAGAGGGTACGACTATGTTTTGTACTCGGTGGAGGAACACCTGGGTTATCAGGAGACCAGCTTTCCAACGCCATCGAATTAATGATGAATCCAAAAGAAGGCAGCCTTGGCTGGGTGGCTCAGTTGTTTGGAGCCTCATCCTGTGCCCCAAAAGGTAGTGGGTTAGCTACCTGGTTAGGGCACACACCTAGGTAGCGGTTCGATCCCCAATTGGGGTATGTACGGGAGGCAACCAACCAAAGTTTCTCTCTCATGACAAGGTCTCTCTCTTCCTTTCTCCCCCTCCCCCCAGTGTTGGGAACCACTCTCTATGGTTTCAGAGATTGCAGCCCTGTGAGAGCAGGTTCTGAAAGGGGCTAGTAAGTGTCCCTGGAAAACCAGGTAAAAACCGCAGGTGGCAGGCATGACCTGACTCTAACATCAAAAGTTCCCATGGGAATTAGATCTGATAAATACATTGTATCCTTTGAAGCTTGCTTTGTTCTGTACAGCCCTGTCAATATAAACCAGATGTTTAAGTTCAGGGCATAAGGAGTAAACCCCTTATCTCATGAAACACGTCTTAAAGACCCTCTGGCATCAGCATGACTCACAGACGCTGACCTATGACAGATCTCCATGTTCCTTCAATTGTCATCTGTAGATAATACCTGTTTTTGTATGATGATAGCCTTTGACTTTGACTGATGAGCTATGCATGTGTGCTGTGTACACTGACACACACCATTCCCAATAAAAGCCGCTTGGGAGAAGGGCTCCAGGCATTTCCCACTAGAGGGAATCGCCACCCCCTTTCCCGCCAGAACAACAAGGTTGTGTCCGGGATGATTTATTTCTCATCCACCGCAGCCAGGAGGAGCTCTGCGGGATGGACTTCCTCCCCTACCCCACCCTTCCTCTTTCTCTAAAATCAGTAAGTGTATTCCCACATTAGGATTTTTTTTTTAAGTCACACATACCCAAACACAAATTTTGATGGCAAAACACCTGCTATTGAGAACTCAACAACAAATATAAGATGTCAACTCAAGATCCAAAACATCTTTATGGCAAGCAAGCCCACCAACTGGAAGAAAGAGGTGTCCTGATTGGCAGCTGTGGTTTGTAAAAGGCCAGTCTTTATACAGGACAGCCAGGGAGCGTGAGAGAAGTAGTTGAATGTGGAAGGGAGGGGAGGGGAGGGGAGAAGCATTTGTAAAAAATGGGAAACTTTCAGAAGACACAAACATTAGAAGCTGTAGAGATTAGAAGTGAGGCTGTCCCTGTAAAGACAGATGTAGATCTAGGGTGTGGAGAGCATCAGACGTTCTGACAGTCAGAGAAGAACCAGCAAGAGAGAAGACAGCAGCCGCTCGGCCATTCACAGTCTTAGCCCTCGAGACACAGAGGAAATGTCTACTGTGCAACAATCAGTTACTCTTATACACCCTTAAAAGCAGCAGCGGGTGTCCCCCACCCCCCGCCATGCCGGGTGCTGTTAATAAACATTACTCAGCCTGAGAAATAAGCTTGAGAAATGCTTCATGCTTGGGCTGTGCCCTATTGTCCCTTTTCAGAGATTCATGACACCTTTTAACCCACTTTAGCATTCAAGAAGCTCCTGTAGAAAAACAACCAAGTAAGTCCCCAACCTCCAACTCTGTTGAAGCTACAGTTTTGCAGACACATTTGAATAGATGCTACCAGTCAACAGAAACGCACTTTGGGAAACATCCTAAGCACATGAGTGAGTGATACTGAAGAAACACCACGCAGACCCTCCACATTTAGAAAAGCAACACACTCATCTAGGACCACAACGCAGTAACAAGTTGAATCATACTTGCAAAATTTGGCTTCTAAAACCAAAAAATTGGGACAGTATTTTTTCTTCCCTGATCTGTGAATGTATTTACATTTTTAAAAAGTGGACGAGCTCAAGCTCTGTGTCTACACCACTTAGTGAGTGTGAACATCAGACAAGCTACTTAATCTTTCTAAGCCCTAGTTTTCCCATCCAGAAAGTGGGGGGGGAGGAGTGTAATAACTGTTGAAATATCACTCCTCCATGTTTTTCTCAGACTCCTCTAAGCTGGGCATGCCAAGAACGCAGGGCCCTCACCACTCTTTTCCCCGAACATTTCTCAAGGCTGTATTTGCCGGGAGCAACCTGGGGGAAGGAACTAATGCGTCCCTCTGGGACAAAGAGCAGGCTTGCTTCCAGGCTGCTGTAAAGCAGTATGTTTCCCAGGCTCCACATTCTTCTCCTGTAAGACATTCCACCGAGGGGGTGGGCTAGAGCCCCCCGTACCACCCCTGTGGGAACTGGGGCTCAGGGTACTAACATAAAAACGCTCAAACTCTGGCAGCTGCTTCTGCTGTGAGTAGTAAAAGTCTTTCGTCTCTGACTTCAGTATCTCATGTCTTCGACCAGCATCCGTGAAATCATGGCAAGCTTGATTATTAGTGAGCAAGTAAAAAATAATCAGACCCTTAACAGTTTTTGACAAATAGTACTTGTCTCACAGAATTTTTGTGAAAAGTAATGTGATAAAGCAAGTAATACGCTGACTGCCATGTCTGGTACCCAGAATGTTTCTGAGAAGCCTAACCTACTGACAGCTATTACAAAAAGTATTATTAAGGAATAAAAACTAGACCTGGACATTTAATGAATCACCTTTATTAAGAAAAATAAAATCCAAAGAAATGATTAAATTCGCTTCAATTTAAAAACAGAGGAATTTTAAGTTATAAAATGCTAATGAGCCAAGTTTCACACATTTCTAGGATGTATAAAACAGGCTAAGGTATCAGCTTAGAGGACCCTGGCTGCGTGTTAAAATACACCACCGAGTCTGTACGTACCAGTTCTTTTGCTTCTTCAAGCTGTTTCTCCACATTTGCAACCATCTGTTTCTTCTCATCTGAAACAATATCAGAAAACTGCTAAGAATAGAAATAATTTACCATTTAAAAACCTCCATTTTTGTATGACTTTTTCCTTTCTGTTCAGTCCGTGTAGATAATTACCAACATCAGGCAACTGACCACATCATTCCCTGGTGTGTTAGAAACCACTAATTCGAGGCTGGAAAGTCATACTGTAGTAGAGTACCCGAGTGATTAAGGGATGCCACAACACTTTAAAGAGAAACCAAAAATTATTTTGTTCTTTAGAAGAGACTGTGTCAACAACAGCAGGTTTAGTGGTCGCATGAGGAATCTGCAAAGTCTTAACTACAATAAACGGGGAATAACTGATTTACAAATACAATTTAAAACCTGGGACCCACAACCCAGGCACGTGCCCTGACTGGGAATCGAACTGGTGACCTTTCGCTTTGTGGGATGATGCCCAACCAACTGAGATGCACCAGCCAAGACTGGATTATCTTTAACTCGAATAAGCTGATACAAGTGAAACTACTTTTCAACTGGGAAGTGCTAAGTCTCTGTACGTGGTTTGCTCAAACTCTACCAAAATCAAGTTATAACCAAATTGTCATTCCCTTTTCCAGAAGAGACATGTCCTGGCAGGTATTTTCAGAAAACATCACCCTGCTCCTATTCCAAATCATTTGTGTTGTTACGGTTGAGTTTCTGTGATGTGGAACCAAACGATTGCTGACAGACTAACATAACAGACTAGAAAACTGAAATTTGCAGTGAGCGTAACACCGACTAGCTGACTGGCCCGTCAGTAGAACAGTCAACACTAGATGGGGACTCTTCAGTAGGAATGATTATCTTACAAGAATAATAATTATGTTCTGCTAACCCCAGCTCCACAGGGGAGCTGTCCTATGTTTTATGTGTACTCTACATATGTTTCCCTGAAAACAAAATGCCCATTTGGAATTAAAATTCAATTCAATTTTTTCTCCTCAAAAAAGTTAAACCTACATATGGCCAAATTAAAGTTTTAGTACGTGGCCCCAAATTTATTTGCTCCTGGCACATGTCGATCTCAAGAAGATACAGTAGAACCGCACTATGTTTCTGGAAGCGAGCAGAGTGTAAGGTGAGGCAAGCCCGTCTTGGGCCGAGGGTGAGATTCCATATTTAAAGAGCAGAAGGAGCATCTTGTTTTCCTTAAGGTGCTCATCTGTTAGGCCAGTCCATGCCGTGGGCCTGCAGGACTAATGGACAGCAGTTTTTCCCATTAACAAAGCAAACAAAAAAAGCAGCCTCCCCTGGCCTCTGCTCGCCTTTGTCACTGACCCCTCTGTCCTCCCAGCCGCAGTCCCACTTCCCCTCCTCATCTCCCCGGTGCCTCCTTGTACTCTTGCCCGCTCCCCACCATTCATTTCACTGGGATGACTTTCACTTAGGACTCAGACCTCTCCTTTGCCCAGACTGATGGACATTCCTTGTTCTATTTTTATTTACTCTTGTGGCACCTCACAATCTGTTCTCCCTAGCTTGTCACTGTCTCCTCTCCTGGACGCAACGACCCCTCTCTCAATGTCCTCTGCTCCTCATCCTCTTGTTCAGCCCTTCCTTTGACTTGGTGTTCCTGGGTGTCTACTCTCTGCTTTTTTCTCTTATGACTATCATCTGTGTCTCTGGGCAATTGCACCTGCTCCAATTTATTAACCTTCCTATTACCTATTTGTGATCCTAAATCTTTATCACTAATCCTGATAGATTTCTAGGACTCCACCCCTTTAATCCCAATGCTATGCCCACCTCCACTGTAATCACCTGGCAAATTGCTATTCAACACTCTTCAGGAATATCTGACCTCTGTGAAGCCTTTCCTAACCCAACAAAGAGAGTCACACATTTCACTTACATAAAACAACTATAATTTTTACCTAATCTGAATGATTTGTCTCTCCTACTCAACAGTCTGATTTACCTTCTATCTCAGAGGCTCTGGGAAGACAAGATCTCTGTTTTAAACATCTTTATAATTGTAAAATCCAGCACTGAGCCTGGAAATATAATCAACTCTGAAAAAGTGACATTAATTGAATAATATAGGCTAGTGCAAGTACTTACAAAAGAAACTATGCTAAGCGCCCTGGTTTCCTGGTCTCCACTCCGGTCCCCTCCCCCATTCAATCTTCCTACAATGTCGCCTTGAGTGGATCACTTGAGTCTAGCAGTCGAGGCCCTCCACATTCCAAAGCCAGGCAACCTTCCCAACGTTAACCCCAGCTGCCAGCTCTGCAGTATGCACTCTACATGCTAACCCAACAGACCATCCATTACTGCCTGAACAAACTTCTTTTTTTTTTCCCCTGCTCTGTGCCTTTGTTCAAGCCACCACTTGGGGTCCTTTGGTCAACTATCACAGAACTAATTCTGGTTAATTTAAGCCAAAGGTGGGGCGGGAGGGTTGTTTATTAGAATAATATGGGGTGGCTCAGCAAGTCAGTAGGAAAAAGAGCCCACGAGCTCAAGGAGGACAGTATCCAGGGTGGCCCAGAGCATCATGGGAGCAGAAGCCCACTGGCTGTCCCTGCGATACGGAGTCTCAAGCAGCAATACCATGGGTTAGTGTTGACTCTCCTTCCAAAGGGCTCTCTTCTTGGCTCACTCTGCTCAAAATTAAAATTCCCAGCAAAAACTCTCTGGATGTCCTTGCCTGGGTGATGCGTTCACCTCCTGACCTGGACAGGGACGACAGCCAGCCAGTCCCACCAAGACTGGGTTCGGGTGGTTCCTCAATGGGAAATGGAGGTGCTGCCATCAGAAGATGAAACGTAGGAGTCTGCACAATCAAAAACACAGGTGTCCAGCACGTCCACTTATTGCAATCTCTGATAAAATACTCTTTCTCTGGTTTTATCTGTTGAGTCCCACCTATGCTCCCATGTGATCTCCTGGGCCACAACTGATCTCTTCTGAATCCCCAGACCTCTGCGCTCTGCGCTAGTGGCCCCGATGGTCATTAGAAACTGGTTTTCTCTGCAGCCTCATTTCCAGCTCCGTGAAGATATGGCCCACTTTTGCCGCATCTTTGTCCGAACTCTGAGAGCGAGCTCACTAAGTAGCAGTGAGCAGGCGTGGTGTCCAGACCTTGGTTTCTAACACCAGTTTTCAGTAAAAGGAAACAGGACTCCCTGGGAAATGGCTGATTCCAGGACAGGTGTAGGAAAAATACAAGATGATTCTGGAGTATCTTCTAACAGGTAAGAAGGTAAGGAAGCACTTAAAAGGAAAAACAGCCCTGCATGGTGGGGGTGTATCAAAAGGTGACAGAAGCCAACCAAAACAGCTCTCAGTGGTCAAAGCTGGGACGGTCTGAGCAACAAAAGATAGTGCTGGAATGTAAGACAAAGTACAGAACAACTGTCATGAGGCCATGATATAAGTAACTGAACAAGTAAGTAAACTGAGGACAGACAAAATTCTCCCATAAAGAGCAGTTCCCAAGTAATTTACATAGATACTAAGTCTTTAAGGAGGTGGAACACAAGCCCCACACCTTAAGTTTGGGCGATGCACAGGCTTTCTTTCTGAACAGCACAGAAAAGGAGTAAATAGTAACTTTACTGTACAGAAACCTGACCAACACGACCTCAACCCGGTGATCAAAGCTGGCACCAGTACTAAGTTCTGTTGCAGTGCAGACTCTTGATACGGTGTGATGGAAAGGGTGCTTTGCCTCTGTGGCCTTCCTCCCAAAAACCTACACCCCCCAGTATGATGACCATGAGAAAGACATCAAGCAAATGCCATGTGAGGTACAAATATCTGACCAGCAACTCCTCTAAGCTGTAAAGTCATTAAAAGCAAGGGGAAGCCTGAGAAACTGTCACAGCTAAGAGGCCCCTAAGGAGCATAACTACGAAATGTTTTGTGGTGTCCTGGACTGGGCCCTAGAACAGTGAAGGGACATTAGATAAAAAACTAAAGACATGTGAATAAAGTGAGGACCTCATCTAATAATAGCGTATCCCCATGCATTCACTGGTGCAACATATTTAATGTAAGATGGTAACTACAGAGGAAGCTGGGCGTGGGGTATAGAGGGATTCTAATGATTATCTTTTTGACTTTCATGTAAATCTAAACCTGTTCTAAAATTAAAAGCTTATTTTAAAAAATCGATGATGTCATTGTTTAGGTTAACTAAGTTATTGCAGGGAGAGAAGTGCCCCTGGGATTAGTGTGGTTGTGTGTGTGTGTGTGTGCGTGTGTGTGTACCTAACTCAAATCCTACCAGGTCTACTTTAACTCACTCTGCCCCTGAACTTCGGAATTAAAACTGGAACCATCCCTTCCATTCTAACTCTCCAGAACAATAGAAATGCAATGCATGCAAGTTACATGTAAGTTTAAGTTTTCTAGTAGCCACATTTTAAAAAGTAGAATGAAACAAATGAAATTAGCTTTAATCATCTTTTTAGTTTTAACAATATTTAACGCGAAACAACCAAAATATTTTCATGTCACTATGTAGCCACATTTCAGGTGCTCAAAAATTCCATGTACACAGTGCCAGGGCCACATGTATTTTAAGCAAACCACATTATTCATAAATAAAAGTAGACTTTTCTCAAGTCTCTCACTACAACCACCTTGTGAAGGCAAGAGAAAATCATGGAACATTTGCGGCTTCTTCCATACATAGCTATGTCTGGTCTCCAAAAGTCTCCAGGGCTTAACATGACTAATCAGCGAGGCCTGAGCATTTCCTCCCAGAAAGGACGCTGTCTTGTCCCGAAACTTCCAATTCTCTCCCCTGACTCCTCCCTTGACATCCAAAGTTAAAATCCCAATTCCAACTTCATGTCCTGAAGTCCCTCCATTAGTTTCCCTTCAAGGCTAGGGAGAGAGACTCACCTAACTCTAGTGCAGGCACAGAAAGAAAGCAAGAATTGAGGTCCAAGTTTCCTTTAAGGGCTCAATTAATATAACAAAGTCCGAGAAGGTGGGCCCTGAATAACCCTACTAGCTTTCGCCTTCAGTAGCACTAACCTCCATCACTAATGGCTGATTCATCATGTACTTTATATCTCTGGGGGAAGAAATGTGCTAGTATGTTACATGCTTTATTTCATCTGATTTTACAACATTGCAAGTTTGAAACTAATTCTCCCTTCTTCTGCCAGTTTTACAGATGGAGGAAGCAGGCTTAGAAAGGCCAAGCAATTTGCCCAAGATTGTACATCTGGTATAGAGAGGAGATCCTAAACAGACCTGATGCCATATATGAATGTAACCAATCTGCCATCATATGTTTCTTGGTGTTTCTGACTTACAGCCACACAGTGGTAGGATTCACAATAGACCATTTACCACTCTGTGAATGGTGAAGTATACAACCAACTGCAAGAGAACATTTTGTTTTAGGCCCTTCCTGATGCAATGGAACCTCTGCACCTGCAACGCGTCCCTCTAACTTGGAATTTATCCCCGGGGAAAAGGAACTCTGTGATTAGTGTTTGTTATGGTTTCCACGAATCCATTTCCCCGACCTGACCACAGAACATTAATCATTAAAATCGAGTTTCAAATATAGTGTGACAGAGTATCACCTAAGAAGGGAAGATCCATCTCATTGGTCCAATTTCTAAAATCAGTCAAGATCCAAACACTATAGTCTACAAGCAAAATCTTTTTATTGTTTAAAATATACCACAGAGCAATAAAATTTCTTTTCTAAAATAAAATTTTAAAATATTCAATCTTTTATATTCTCATTGGAAGTAACACTTCAATACATTATACATGCACAGCACAGAATGAAGTTCATTGCAACCAATCCTACTCACTCTACTCAATTTTTAAAAAGATCTTATTTGTTTATTATTAGAGAGAGAGGAAGGGACGGAGAAAGGGGGAAACATCAATGTGTGGCTGCCTCCTGAGTGCCCCCTACTGGAGACCTGGCCCACAAACTGGTCATGTGCCCTAATTGGGAATCGATCCAGTGACCCTTCAGTTCGGAGGCTGGCATTCAATCCACTGAGCCACACAAGCCAGGGCTCTACTTCAATTTAAATGAGTTAATATGTTGGAGAATGAACTGCTTTGGCTAAAAAGTTTGTTCCAATTTTTAACCTTCTTAACTGAAGTAAATCATAGTTCATCTGCTCTGGGTCAACCATGAAAGATGCCCAGAGAAAGGGATTATCATTACTTTTAACCATACTATTTTTGCTATATTAATTTTTGTTAGTCCACAGGCATAGATCTGAAAGTCATAACTACAGAGATATATTTTCTATATATCAATTAGAAACAGATTGTAAAGTGAATAAGCATAAGAGAGAAAAGTGAATTTACTGTAAAGTGAATTATTAAGAGAGAAAGCACTGCATTTTAAAGAATTACTAGTATTCAATAATTCGAGTCAGTAGGCATTCTTCCAGTGCCAGCCAGACGGTCTCCTTTCAATATCACTGTAGCTGCTATGTTACTTTATAACACAATTTCCAAGTACAAAAGCAATTGTCTCAAACAAACAACGTTTCTATTGCTAAAACTATTACCATTAAAAATGAGCAAAACTCCAACTAAAACTATACATCCTGGTACTCTGAGGCTCTGGGACCGAAGTCAAAGGAAGTAGTCTCCAACAACAAAGACAACAAAAAGCAAGATGATCTCGGGCAGTGCAGAAAAGCAGAACTGAAGAGAAGAGGCGAGGTGATGTATCATGAAGTGGTGAGGCCATCAGCCACTTTATCCACCAAAATCTCTGAGGCAGCCAAGCTGGGTGGAATAGGCTACCTTGGTTTTCTCCTCTTGTCCCCTCACTTGAACTCATAAACCTCTTTAAGACATCATCCAACTCCTCCAGAACTAACTGAGACTTCAGGAGATGAGTGGGGTGTAAGTTCAGAGATCCTGGCTTCAAGGAAACATCCCTATTAATAAAAAATAGGTGGGGAAAAAACAAAGAAATCAAGGAAAATATTATTTATAAACACATAAGTTTGGGGGAAGGCAGGGAAAGGGAAAGAGGAATGACAACTTGGGCCCAGGAGAAATTATTGCTGGCATCAGGACTGAGTAACCAGGTGAGACCCTGAAGTTGCCCACCATTGCAAAGATCAATGAGTGCCCCCCTTCCTACGCTTTACACCCCAGAGCTAAGGCAGGACGAAGGCTAGCACCCCAATGATTGTTCAGTTTCCCCAACACAAGGAAGCCAAAAAGTAACAATTTTATTGGGGAATAACTACTCAAACTTATATTAAAAGATACATAAATGCCAAAACAATGTCTTACAAATAAAAATCACAAAATGTCACATTTGTATATTTGTTTATTTAAACGTCTTTACCTGAGTCCCTTCTAAATAAGTGTCAATGAAATCACACATGAATTCCACTTTCACACAGTCTAGCATAAAAGAAAGACATGCTAAAACACAAAAACAAAAACAAAATACACTTCTGGAAGGCAGCTGTGGGATTTTAAAAGCGAGAGAGATTATTTTGTACCAAGTTTTACATAAAATTGCGTTACCGAGTCCCTGAAAAAGAATGAGAAATAAGAAATGGGTCTGGAGTATGAAAAATACTAATGGTAATAGCAGCTAACACAAAGGAAAGGTTTTACATGTTAAATAATTTAATCTTCACAACAACCTAATGAGAGACCTACAATTCTCACTATTTTACCAAGCAGGAAAGTTGAAAGAGGTTAAGAAACGTGCTTAAATGTCAAAACTCCTCAGCAGCAAAGCTGGGATTTGAATCCAGGCACCATGGCTCCTAACCCTGATTTGCTTCGGGTAATAATGTCATTACTAATAAAACAACGTCAGACCCTTAATCAAAGTACTTTCATTCATTCTTTTTTGAACACTCTCACATATCCCTGTTTTACAAAAGAAAACAAACAGGCAAAACTAAAAACCAAAACTAACATTCAGAGAAACAGTCCCAAGATTATGCAAGTAACAAGGCGGCAGAATTCGGACTGGAGCCCAGAAGGGGTCTGTTTACTGCACCCATCCCACCACGGGCTGTCCCTTTAACCTCAACCAAGTGAAGTTCCATCCCTCCGGGAGGGCCCGTCAGCTCTACATTCCAACCTCGCGCCTCAGAGACACACTAGTTCAGACAGCGTTCCATCACCAGAGCCTCCTGGCTCTGCGAGCCACCCTGGCTCAGCTGGGGCAGAGCTCCTACCTGGTGGGAGTCGAGGGACCCTGCCAATCTTGCTCGTGATCTCTGCAGTGAGCACCGCGAAGTCCTGCTCGTAGCCTTCGAAATCTGACGACATGGCGGTTCCGGAGTGACAGACCCAGGCCGGAGCCTAGGTCGGGGTAGGGGTCAAGCAGAGTAGGGGAACACGGTGAAGGGACCCTGGGAACCGCCCTCGGGAGCAGAGCGGAGAACCCAGGACAGCTCCCAGCCCGGCCACTTCCTGGTTTTCCGTCACAATCTCGGTCCCCCGGAAGTTGGCTTGGTACACTCTTTTTTTTCTCTCAGACTTCAAAACTAACAAATTCCCTAAGAAAAAGCACGTTAATTAGTGCGCCCAAAAGTCTCCAAAAATATCCGTCTTTTAGGGGAGCACCGATTTTTTTTTAACCCCTCCACGTTCTGGAACGCGGCTCCAGCTACCCAGCCGCATGTCACGCGAGCTACCTTCCGGTGGAAAGTTTCCTGCGGCGAACCTTCCGGAAGTGGCTCTCACCGAGACTGCGCTCCTAGCCCGAGCCAGACAACTGCAGCTACAGTACACGATGATAGAAGAACGGGTCATGTCGCGTCTATGCCCCAGCCTCTAGCAAACAGGATTCGCTTTCTGCTTGCTGTGTACTGAGATATCCATGATGGAATTACCCGAACCAAAGCTGTTCCGGTGAGCCCGGGCTGCGCCAGAAATGCGATGGCCGAGGAGCAGGCACCAAGGACCAGACTGAGGTGGGAGTCAAGGCAGGGGACGTAATCATGGTTTTGGCGGTCTTCACTCCACCCGAGTGAGGCCAGAATCTTCATTACTTTGGGACCAACCACGCTTACAAGGATGATCCTCCCCTCTCCCTCTGCTTAAGTGAGGATTTCTAAAAGGTCTGCTTCATGACCCGGGCGGGAAACTGAGGCACAAAGCAGCGGCATCTGTTGCGTGGAAGTTATTGCCCTTGTATCCCAGATCTTCTTTCCTTCACTCACTGCAGTTCTGTGATAAATACCCGTCTACAAATCTTCCCAGTGCTCGCAGAAGGCACTTCCTCTTTTTTTTTTTTTCCTAAAATACTCTCATCCATGTTCTTTTTTCATGTACGCCTCCAGTCGCGTTTTCACACACACCTCTGGCTCTCCTGTCCTTGCACCCTGTCTTTGCTTTAACTCCCTCACCTTTGGCCTTTTTATTGGGGTTTGGGGGGCAACCGCAGGCAAATAATGTAGACCATGTCGGATTCATAGCTGACTTAATTCAAGACTCCGTAGGAGGTAGTTTAGAAGTCCGTAAACGGAGTTGAACGATTTGGTTTAGCTGTTAGGTTTAACCTTGATCTAATCATGTAGCCTCTCCATACCAATTTCTATGAACCTGGGTTAGATCAATTGTAAAGCGCTGTTTCCCAGCTCTATAATTCTTTGTTTCCTTAAACCATTCACTAAACGTTGGACAGTCACAGCCCCCAGACTGTGGCATTACATGCCATTTAAACCTGAACCCTATTTTAATATCAAAAATAGTGGGTTTTGGGGGGGTATTTGACAGGCTATTCATCCCATGGTAGTGCACTTGTGAGATGCTTTTAAGTGGTTATTGGACTTGACTACATAATAATTTTTTTTTACTGATCTTTTTCATTTTGTTTTCTTTAGATTGAGTTTCAGACCAAGATCCTGGGTTCTCCTAGCTCAGATAAAGAGCTCTGAGTATATAACGGGGAAAGTGGGATAATCTGCATTAACATCGCACAGAAGACATGACAATTCAGGAACACATGTGGACTTGTGGCACGTGGAAATGTCTGCACAGGAAAAGGAAGTCTATAATTCTTTAAAGATAGGAAGACATTCTTTCTTACCAAAATGGGCTCATCTTGCTCAGTTATCAAGTTTGAAAACCTCCAAGAATTAAAGAGACTGTGTCACTGGGGTCCTATTATAGCCCTTGGTGTTATAGCAATATGTTCTGTGATGGCCATGATTGACTCTGTGTTGTGGTATTGGCCTTTACATACAACTGGAGGAAGTGTGAATTTCATCATGTTGATAAACTGGACTGTCATGATTCTTTATAATTACTTCAATGCTATGTTTGTTGGTCCTGGCTTTGTCCCCCTGGGATGGAAACCGGTAAGAAAAAGATCTCTTTAAAGAATGAACTTTAATAATAATCTACTGGTAATTTAGCTTTTGCTTTATCTTCACCAATAATATCAAATAGATTACTTTTTGCCTTGCTACAGACTAAGTATATTGTAATCACTGGCCATTTAAATCTCAGATTGTTTATTTCATATTTCTTTAAAAATACTAATCTAAATTTGTATTTCCTAAAGCAGTTTTATTGAATACTTGTCGTGTAATTAAAAAAAAGAAATGATGGGGTGCTGGTGAGTACATGGTCATAAGTTTAGGAAAAACTGCATATCACACATGCCTTCCTTATAACTTCACAGTGCAATTTGGCTATAGAACTTTTTTTACCTGTAATATATTAAGATCCTTAGAACTGAGAAAAACTCTTTAGAAACTTTTAGTTTAAGTCAAAGTTTTTAAATCATGGCAGTGAAAATTAGGAAGTGCAGTATGAATCCATTTATGGCTTCTTAAAATTTGTTAGAATGTTTATAAATTTCCATTCCATATTCCTTGTTGAGGGACTTCACCTGGTAGCATGCTAGAAATGCAGAATCTTGAGCTCCACTTCAGATCTACTGAGTCAGTATCTACATTTAATAAACCCCCCAGAATGATTCTTAGATTTTTTTTAGTATTGTAGAAGTACTAGTGTACCGTTTGAAGTGAGTAAAGAAATGGGTAAGACCCAATTCATATTATGAAAAACCTCATAACTGAGGAGAAAAACAGGCACTTTTGCAAGTAACTATGGAGGAGAATGTGGCGAGAATGTGGTGAGCTATTGAAGTTGAAAGGAACTGATTATTTTCAGCCAGGGACCTACGGGAGAAGTGGGAGTTTCCACAGGAGACAGGAAGAGGCTTTTCAGGTTGAGAGAATGGTGAAAGTATGGAATGGACAGATTATACACAGTGCAGATAAGGTGGAAACAAAGGCAGATTATGGAAGCCTCAAATACGTGAGAAGCTGTTAGACTCCAGGGAGTTAGAGGTTTCCAAGCAGAGCTCTGATAGAATCAGAGTCACGTTATGTATAGGACTAGTAAGAGTATCAACCCTGATGTTTGTGTCCATATTCTAAATACAAGCCAGCCAGCCTTTTTCTGAACTTCCACTCTATGACGATTTGGGGTAAGTAGAGACGGCTATACTCAGGCACAATGGATTAGGATGGAGCATAGGGAAGAGAAATTAAAAGTGACCTCTGGGTAATTGGGAGAGTGTTGCTATTACACAGAATTTTTACTTAAAATAGTTTTATCTCAAGTGAAAGGACTGGGAATGCAAGTTAAGATTCCATCCCTCTCCCATCTCCCCTAAAAGAAAATGAAACCATAGGAAAGCATTTATTCAAGGTTTGTTATTACTCAGGATTGGTTATCTGATGTATTTTGTGTTTATATTCTGCTGCCAAGGAAAATTCTCAGGATTGCATGTACCTCCAGTATTGTCAAGTCTGCCAGGCGTACAAGGCACCGCGGTCCCATCACTGCCGGAAGTGCAACAGGTGTGTCTTTGCCATCCATGGGGGGGCCGATCAGCTTGATGACTGGTCTTTTGTTCCTTCTGCCACAATGATCCTACTTTTATAAAATTGGTGGCTACTTTGTAAAAAAATATGGCCAAAATATTTGCGTCTGTAATCTCCATTTTATTCTTAAAGTATCAATTCTGACAATTATTAACACATCTCTTTTGTTCCCATGTGAAAAGATTTTTTTAGAAAAATACAGAATGACTGCTTTTTGCCCTGCCAAGAGCATGGTAGAAAGTCGTGCCTTCGAGTTGTTTCTGTAGGTCACAATTGACAGTGCTGGTTGACTGTCATCTTGACTAGCTGTAGGACCGTTCTGAGTCTGGTTACAGAGCAGAGCTGCTTTTTCCATTATTTAGTTCACGAACACATTTACACTTTATACTAATCTAATAAATGAAGCCAGATGCCTAGTATTGCAGTGTTTAACTAAAAAAATAATAATAATGGGAAGAAAACTGAATCACTGTAAAAATGTGAAATAAGCCAGAACCTTTAAAAAGGAACAGCTGTACCCACGGCTTAGCTCAGAGTTTCCACATCTAATGCATGAGGACAGGAAGGAAGGAAGGAAGTCCCAAGCGTCCGCTAGGTCCATCAACTCCGGCAGAGATTTGTGAGAGATTTTGTTGAGTCTCTGTTGTTCTCCACTGCAGTCAGTGCATTTCAGAGGCAGAGGAAAACCAGGAACCAGGCTATTTCTTTATAATGAACCTCTCAGTGAGCCTCCTGACTTAAAAAAACTCGCAGGGGCCAGGCAGGCATCTTTTCCTCAGAAGCTGTTACAAAGCCCACCCTTTCCCGCTCTGGTTAGAATTTAAAAGATGTCCCTTTTCAGAGTTGTTTAAAAACTCAAAAGATTTTTCTTTCTGTTCCACATAATATAATTCTAATGACTCATGAACATGCTGGATTCCTATTTGCTTGGTCTTTTGAAGACCGAAGTTATCTGAAGGATTTCCTACCTCATGATTTATGTAAATACTTCTTGTCAGGTGTGTGATGAAGATGGACCATCACTGTCCTTGGATCAACAACTGCTGTGGTTACCAAAATCACGCTTCGTTCACGCTGTTCCTGCTTTTAGCGCCCTTGGGCTGCATCCATGCTGCCTTCATTTTTGTGATGACCATGTATACACAGCTTTACAACCGGGTAGGTGAAAATGTTATAAAACATTCATGCCAGATGCAGTGGTAGTGATCAGGGTTATTTACAAAGTCCCTTTTGGAGAGATGCTTCCTATGATTTAAGTGGGAAATGGAACTTCGCTTTGCCTCTACATGGGTTTCTTTTTAAAAAGCATTAAAACTTATTTTTTCAAAAGGAAGAAAGATTATTTTGCTCTGGAAACTCACCTTGCTAGCTCCAGTTGAATTGATACTTATTTTAGTACTATATATATATATGAGTTATTAAGTTTCAAACGTGGTAGCTGTGGTAAGAATAATTAGAGGGGAAAAAAAGAAGAGCAACAAGAAAGGCAACACGAGGACTTTCCTCTTCCATCCAGTTCAGGGGACAACTTGTACTTCTTTTCCTGATTTCTAATCCCAGTGCCCTGGCAGGTGGCTCATGGGGCAGGCAGAGTCCCTAAAGTACCCCGCAGCGCATTGAGTCACCTTACGGGCAAGTAGTGGTGAGGTAGGGTTCAGGGTGAACTAGGGGCAAAGTCCTCATGGGGCTGGCACTCTGGAGAAACGTGCCCTTCCACGTACAGAGCACAGCCTGTGTTTCACCTCAGCCAGTTTTTTCACGTTTGGTAATCCAGACTGGTGATGCTAGATC